GTAGGAGAAGGTAGGAGTAGTAGTGGTAGTGGTAGTGGTAGTGGTAGTGGTAGTGGTAGTGGTAGTGGTAGTGGTAGTGGTAGTGGTAGTGGTAGTGGTAGTGGTAGTGGCAGTGGTGGTGGTGGTGGTGGTGGTGGTTGGTAGTAGTAGTAGTAGTAGTAGTAGTAGTAGTAGTAGTAGTTGTAGTAGTAGTAGTAGTAGTAGTAGTAATGGGAGTGGGAGTAGGTGTAGGGGTTGGAGTCGGAGTAGGGTGTAGGAGGAGCAGAAGCAGGAGCAGGAGCAGCAGCAGCAGCAGCACAAAGCAGAAAGCAAGCAGAAAACAAGCTTGAACGCATTAAGCAGCTGCAAATAGAAATACTCCTGATGCGCCTTCTGTACTTCGTAACGCGTAACACGACGACTCAAGCCGCGGTGGTTGATGATGCTGAACACACTAAAGCTAAGGACCAAAGTACGCTCCGATCTGAACCTCTGAACTGCCCTAAACCCTATACCATAAGCAACTTCAGAACGGTATCAGAAGAGTAGGGCTCGAGTTACGGCAAGATAAGGGAAGCAAGTCTGACTGTCTTAAACCATAGAAACCCATGCAAGCCTTCAGACGGTTGGGATTGGTCGAAGCCTGCCACTGGTGGCGAACGTATGTTAGATGGACTCCGGCTTTTCTAGTTTTAGGGTTTAGGGTCGCACTAAATTAATTTAATTTGTTACAGTACCGATGCGCTGTAAGGTTTTCTACGGGTGCTCGGCATTTCTACGGTGTGGGAATCACGCAGCAGTATTACTACCGTAGTCGCAATTATCGATTCCTTGATCTTACATTGCTGTTGAAAGTGCTGCTAGTGCCAGACAAGTAAAAAAGGGTCTAAATTATCACCAATACTGTTTGGGGGGTTCCCTAGAAGTAAATAAGATACACCAGAACCCTATTCTATTTATTAAAAATTAAGGCCCCCATAATACCCGAAACAGCAAAATCCGCAATGCAAACATTGCCTATCGCCAGCACTTCAGGGCCTTGAAAAACGAGCCTTGGGGGGGGCCCTTATCGTATCTTACGGCCTTTAGGGTTTACCATAATTCCTGTCAGCGTGCATGTGATGAAACCCCACGCTCACTCAAGTCTTCCTTGGCTATGTTCGCGTGAATTGCTCTCGACGCCATCAAATATGCAACTGCAAGTAGCCCCGAAGGTGTTGCACCATGAGCCATACCGCCTTCAGCAGTTGCCATCACTTCTTGATCGGCTTCATAGGCTCTTGACATCTGCACTCGCTCATCAGTGAGGTCGATCGACTCAGCCCCATAGGCGACATTTCCAATTGCGTCAATGGACACACCATGGATGCGTCCTGTTCCAATAACCATTCGGTGTGCCTCATAGTTGACAAACTCAACCTCCATGTATCTCCCATTTTCATGGGATGCCCACCGGAAAAAGAGCTGCCACTTCAACTCCGTCACTGCTCATTCTCGTCATCTCACGAAGGGTGTGTAAACTTAAACACCAGCGGCAGACGTATTCCCTATACACTACTCTGAAGGATTGCGGCTATTAGGATTCCAACTTTTGGGCTTCTACTGTAGGGACCCTAAACCCTAAACCCTGAACCCCCAACCCTAAACCCCTCAACCTTAAAACGGGAATTGGGGGTTTCGACTTTTTAGGAAGCTGGTTCGGGCTCGAACTCGAAGTCTGGAGAGCCTCTGGAGTCTCCGAGCCTTCACGCTTCAACCTACTGCCCCCCCCCCCGCCATAGGCCCCATAGTAGTTCCTTTTGGGGATGACCTTATCTTAGGGGCTGAGTACCCTAGCCCAAAAAAAGGCTAACCTTTTGAATTATAGTAGGGTTATGTACGCCCCAAAAGGTTATTAAAGGTTATCTACTCAGCCCCTAAGTTATAGGATTCTAAATATGAACCCCAGAAAGGAACTACTATTGGGCCTATGGGCCAGGAAGCCTTCAACAAAAGCACCCCCTAATAGACCCCCCAACCCTGACGTTCTATATGAAGATGGGAGTCTCCGAAAATCAGGGGTACCTTATTTGGGGGGTCCTTTTTCTTAAGGATCCTATGATTTAGGGTACTGTATTAGGGTCCCCTATTTTCAGAAACCCCCATGTAGGGGTGCTTAGGGGACTAGCTTCGGCATGCCCTAGATGCCGACTATCCGCAAAGCAGGGAACACTGACGACAAAGCAAGCGGATGAAGAAGTAAGCAAAGTCTTGGGGTTTTGGGTTTACCTTAACCCCAAATAACCTACCTTTTTAAGGACCTATATAAAGAAATCATAGTCATATTACGGAACCCTAAAACAGGTAGGTTCCTCAGCGCTACACACCCGCGGCTATGACGGCAGACTCAGCGATTTGGGGGGAAGCCTCACTCCCATGTGTCCCTCAACCATCAGACACGCAGGGGGAACACTTCAACACAATGCACACAAAATAATACGGCACCCTTATATGAAAGGACCTTAAAAGGGACCCGAATTTACAGAACTACTCACATAGGCCCTCAAAAATCGCCTGGTCCCGGGTCCAGGCCGCCATCTTCTCTGTTCCTGCGATGGACGCGGGTTTAGTCTATTTTTGCTTAACGTCCCTTTTTTCCGTCTCGCATAATCCGGGAGTGAAGCTTGGCTACTTCAGCACTGAAAAGCGAGCCAGTTCACAAGTCTAGGGTTTGCCCATAGGCCCCAATAGTAGTTCCTTTTTGGGGGTTCATATTTAGAATCCTAGAAGGTAATCCCAAAAAGGAACTACTATGGGGCCTATGGGTCGGTCCAGGGTTTCTGCAACCCGAACTCGACATCGCCACAAGGACCATGCGAAGAGGAAGTAGGCTCCATTATAGTTCCTGCCTGTGGTGTAAAAGCAGGATCCTATAAGGTAATCCCAAACAGGAACTACAATGGAGCCGATGGGTACACTTATACACTACAGTCTGAGCAGGTTTCTTTTCACTGTGAGACTCCAGCAATCTCGCCCTGGCGCACAGCCGCTATGTGCAAGGTCTCTCAAGCAATCCCCTCTCCCACTGAAAGACGTGCACATGCCAGGCCTTAATCCCTGCTACTATGACGCTGGAGACTAAAGCCTAAAATCAAACATCATGAGAAGGTACGCGTCGAGAACCCACGATCCTTACGACACCAAGTCTCTGCATCTTGGATGCTGTGGGGAATCCAACCCGGAAACCGAAACTAGTATGCCACAAAGTCTGACAGGGACGGACCGCCCCACGTGCAACCGGTGTTTACAAGGCTTTAATCGTTGGGGAAGGCGGGGGGGGGGGGNNACTCGCGCAAAGCAGGCATGGCTTCGGACTGTCTGACCGTGAACCCCAAACCCGAAACCCTGAACCCTACCCTAAAGCCGAAAGGGCCTAAACCTTAAACCCTAAACTCTAAACCAAAACCCTAAATCCCTTAAGGGTCGGGCCAGCTGGCTCGGTGTGCCGGCTGCTTGGATGTGGTCGGCGCCATGAGAGCCAGGCCTTTCGTTGCTCTTCTTCGAGGGTGTACGGCTCGCGATTCCGGGTCTAAGCTTCGCGATTTAGGGTTGAAAGTTTGGGGTCTATAAGGTTTAGGGTTTAAGGTTCGGGGGGCTTTGGGGTTTGGGGTTTAGTTAGGCTTTAGGGTTTAGGGTCTAGTTAGGGTTTAGGGTTTAATTAGGCTTTCGGGTTTAGGGTTTAATTAGAGCTTTTTGTGTTGTAAATCTTCAGTTTTCTGGTTTAGGATGTAGGATCCCTTTCAAGTGGCAGCTCTCAGCTGAGGCAGTTTGACCACCCTAGGCACGGTGTACCGCGTGTTTTCTGTTTCGGGGCGGGCGCCGGGTTTCCGTGTCTGCTTACGTTTTCACTTCGGAGGTGTGGAAACCTTTCCATTTCAAGCTCCGCTTCATGTTCACAGAAAAGCAGAAGAAACCAAGCGAAACGGAAAGCACAATGTAAGCGACATCGGCGATGAAACCAGCAATGAAGGCCTAGATGGAACTGAACAAAAAACGGAAGACGGACTGGAAGCGAGACTGGCAGGCCTTGGCCAAACGGAAGCAGAACGGAAAAGAAACTGAAACGACAAGCAATGTGCCTTGTTTCCGATGTGGACTTCACAACCCACCATCGACGCTAAACCCTGAACCCTATAAGCGCTAAACCCCAACCCCTGCCGTCAACCCAATATCCCTATAAGCGCTAAACCCCAACCCCTGCCGTCAACCCAATATAGTAGATCATGTATAGCATATTATTGTATACTGGTTTGGTGTGTTATATCGCATACCATTTTATTAGTATCTTGTAGTACGGCAATCCGGGCTCTGGTTAGCGGAGCTCGCTGGTCTGACGCTTTCGGCGTTCAGAGTGGTTTCTGGTTTTTGTTGGGGTTGAAATTTTAAGGATGTTTGGGGTGTCGGGTTTTGCTTGTTAGGTTTATGAGTAAGCGTTGCTGGATTTTAGTATCAAAGCGGGCAAGGCCGTTGTTGGCACACCGATGCAAGACATGTCAAACTTTGGAGCTTGCAGACAAGCGGTGTAAGACCTGCTACAGAGTCCTGAAGCCAGGAAACCAACACAAAAGGATCTCGCATAATTACACGCCGGATCCTCAAGCGTAGTAAAAAATCCCTGCTCCTACCCATAGGCCCCATAGTAGTTCCTTTTTGGGATTACCTTATAGGATTCTAAATATGAACCCCCAAAAAGGAACTACTATGAGGCTTGTGGGTACAAGGCCCAACACAGAACAGCCGGCAAAGGTGACGCAATGTACTCTAAACCCTAAACCCTAAAACCCTAAACCCTAAACCCTAAAACCCTAAACCCTGAACCCTAAAATCTTAAACCGCAAGTTCAGGCGCCTCCAGAAGGCTCGCGATTTTTTCGCGGCAACGGCGGAGTCGGCAATCTCAGCAAGCAGGAACTGTTAGGGTCCATAGTAGTTCCTTTTTGGGATTACCTTATAGGATTCTAAATATGAACCCCAAAAAGGAACTACTATGGGGTCTATGGGTAGGTTTTTATCACATTTTTTCCTTCCGCCTGAAAGGTGTCCAGAATACCAGTTCCTGCTTAGGGCTTAGGGTTTAACTCTCAAAACGTCTCAAAACCCTCAATGCTTGGCCCTTTCCTTTCCTACGTGGCCGAAGCAGCCTGAACCTGCAGTTCACCACTAAGGAGCACGTCAGGCTTCGAGTATAATGCAGGGGCCTTAGTAGGTAGAATGAGTAAGTGTTGGTAGTTAACATACATATGGGATACTATTAGTAATCCCTTCCCTAATCATTAAGCCTCCCGGTAATAGTAAATTTCGTTTTTGCAGTAATGTTAAGTATCGTTTTGGGAGCCCCGGAATGCACGCGAAGACAGTTTAGAAAGGACAGTTAGGCCCTGTTGGGGAGAGGCTGGGGCCGTCCTGGAAACTAGTGGGTCGGCTTAGAGCTCAGGGCATCAGGTTCTTGTCTGTCTGTCCGTGTGTCTGACCAGAAAGGCTACACAAGAATCGCTTAGCATAAACCCGTGAGCAATGTGAAGATTGATCGGCGAGCTTCAGCCGGGAAACCTAAGACTGAACTCGAAGGGCTAATGTAGGGGCCTGAATAATTAGAATAGGATTTTGGGGGATACTATACTGTAATCATAATAGGGAACCGCCTAAATAGAATAGGTAAGTATTTAGGCCCTTACACTAAGACGCCGGGCTGCGACCGAGCCCAGCCTCAATTTTGATAACCCAGAAGCTCCTTATAGCCCAAAATTGGGCTTAACAGTAGAATCGTAATCATAATAGAAATAATCACAAAAATAAAATTAAGACAGTAGTAGTAGTAGTAGTAGTAGTAGTAGTAGTAGTAAGTAGTAGTAGTAAGTAGCAGTAGTAAGTAGTAGTAGTAGTAGTAGTAGTAGTAGTAGTAGGAGTAGTAGTAGTAGTAGTAGTAGTAGTAGTAGTATTCGGGGTATATTGTACTGTAGTTATAGTAAGGAACCCCCAAAATAGTATAGGCAATTATTAGGACCCTATATTCACCCCAGACCCTCCCAAATGCCCTCGAGGTGACTACGAAGCAAAAGCATCGGTGATTAGTTGGGCCCCATATACTAACCAACCCTGAACCCTAAACCCTTAAGCTACAGCTTTTCTCTGGGGCCCGACCCACGTGGGTTGCGAGCGCGCCTCGGCAGGGCTCTGGCCAAATGGAACAGGCGAGCCATTTTATGGTTGAAGTTTCAGGGATTCTGAGCTATTTCTGGGATTTTGGGCTTATGTCGGGCTTTTTACAAGTTGCAAAGGGCTCGGATCTATGCGCAGCATATGGTGTAGGATTTCAAGACTTTCGGGCGGGGCTGGTGCTGTGCAGGTTCTGTATTGCAAGGTTGAGCCAGAGACCACAACGGAAAAATGGCAGGTCGCATCATGTGGCTACTCGGCAATCCGATAAGTAAAACTATACAATGCAAAGGCAGCTGTCAGACTGAGATTCAACCCCGGCTTCGAGGCAATTGTTGTCGCTGTGGAGCTTAGGGTTTAGGGCCGGTCGGAGGATATGCAGGAATCCAGGATACAAACATGAAGCTCTCGTAAGCCTAAAACAGCGACCTGACAAACCAGGCTTCGGTTTGGTCCGAGGCCGAGCGTATGTTTTCTTATTTTTTACTCGCACTGGACGGAGTCAGGCGAGGTTTGCGGCGGTCAAGAAGGACAACATCACAGGTGAAAGGTTTATAGGGATGGGGTTCCCTCATCAGAACCCTCCACAACGAAGGCCCCCACAGGTCAGCAAAGCTGACCTACGTGCACCCTGGAAGCCCCGCCCGCTGATTCTGGACGCCGAACCACGTGATAATAATAACGAAACAAATAGAAACAGAATTAGCACTTGTCTATAAAACGATGTGGTAAGGATGAAAGTGAAACTAGACCATCTCTATCTATCTATCTATCTATCTATCTATCTACACATCCATCCATGCAAGCATCCATCCATCCATCCAATCCATCCGTGTAAGAGTATATATATATATATACATATACACTTAAGTGTACAGAAATGTATATATATATATATACATATATATATATATCTATACACAGATAAATACAAACTTAACGTGTAACATATAGTATATATTTATGTGTATATATATATATATATGTGTGTGTGTGTATGTTTATTTGTGAAACTAACTATTAGATGCGGCCGAGCATCTGCTCGCCGTACTTTGCGCTTGGCGGCGCTACGATGGCAGGGGTATGTGCAGCCTTTGCAAAGGCGGGCTCCGTGACGGTTTAGGGTCTTGGGAGCTTAGGGTTTAGGGGTTTGAGTTTGGGGTCCAGGGTTATGTTTCGGGATGAGGTACTTGAAGCTTTTCATTAGTCTTAAGGGTCCCAACTGGGACACTACAGGCGGTTTCGGGAGGGTGGACAGGGTGCATTCTCAGGAATCCTTCTCGCTGGAAACCCTAAACCCTAAACCCTAAAACCCTAAACCCTAAACGTCTTGTTGTTAGCACTCTGGAGGTCGCTATCGTGCGTGCTGGCTTACCGCCTTACATTATGGTTTAGGGTTTAGGGTTTAGGGTTTAGGGCTGGCTTACCTATGAATTTTCCTATGGCATGGTGACTCATACCCGTTGCTTCAATGTCCTGCGATCACAGCTTTATCGACTACTTTTGTGTTGTGGGCTTTCGGCCACTGAAGCCACAAGGAGCTGAGGACAATTGCTGCGTCGTTTCAGTGTCAAAAGCCGCCGAAACCACCGGGGGAAGTCGGCACACGGACCAGTGAAGTTTGGTGCAGCTCTCCGTTCTTTTGTCCGCGATTTCGCAAGACGGCAGATCCACCATAGAAATGTCGGGCATTGGGGTTTTTAAGTTTAGGGTTCAAGGCTACCGAAAGCTCGCCTGACAGAAGCGGCCATGTGATCCCTATAGTATATACTGGAGGCCTCCGGGGGACAGGCTAACACATTACACGCAGCTAGAGTGGTGCCCTCCACAGTGCCAGAAACATAAAAACAATTCACTCGATTATAGAAATCCTACTTTCTTCTGTATAGATACTGGGAAGCCTAATTATGGGTTATTACGTTTAATAGGTGGCCGGGTCCCCGGAGCCATTTCGGGCCAAAAGCTTCAGCTTCCATGAACCCATAGGCCCCAAAGTAGTTCCTTTTTGGGATTACCTTATAGGATTCTAAATATGAATCCCAAAAAGGAACTACTATGGGGCCTATGGGAAGCTTCAGGTCAAAACAGGCGAAGCCTCCTTGCGACGCTTACGCTTGTAGACGCCCCTTAATCTATCTCTATAAGCCCTATAGCCCTAAACCCTAACCCCTAAACCCGGCCCTGAGAGTCCTAAAACCCCTAAACCCTAACCCCTAAACCCGGCCCTAAAACCCCTAAAACCCCCTTTTTTGAACCCAGACTACCCTAAACCCTAAACCCTAAACCCCTAAAACCCCCTAAACCCTAAACTAGGCCCTAACACCCTCACGTAAAAAAGTTCGATCCGAAGCCTCCCGATCCGCCAGGAAGGAGAACTTCTTCGGCGGATTCGGTTTCGTCGGATTGGGCGGAGGGAGTACCTGGCAAGATCAGGGTTTAGGGTTTAGGGGTTTAGGGTTTTTTTTTGACACCTGGGTTTAGGGGTTTAGGGTTTAGGGGCCGCTCCAAAACAAAGACTACCCATAGGCCCCATAGTAGTTCCTTTTTGGGATTACCTTATAGGATTCTATATATGAACCCCCAGAAAGGAACTACTATGGGGCCTATGAATACCTCGAACTACCAGAACCTACTACTTGCTAGAGCCGCGGAGCTGCTAACCCTAAACCCTAAAACCCTAAACCGTTTATGTCTACAGGCAAGGCACAGGTGTTAGGATGCCGCTTCCCCAGCCGCCGTGCAGGAAGACACTCTGAACTTACTTCTATACTGAGATTCCGGAACGCCGATATAAACCCTACATCCTTGATATACGACTCCTCCGTTAACAAAAAACACGGAACCTCTATACAAATACAGAGGAAGAGGGAACATCGCAATAATAATCAGCCCTCAAAGGTGTGGGTAAGTTATGGCCCCACATGCCTTGTCTAACCCTTGATGGGCCCCTTGCCCTGAAAACCGTAAACCCGACTGCTCGCCTGTCCCTTTGGCCGAGCCTCCCAGCAGGGCATCCGGCTTGTAAGGCTGTCCGGGGTGGGGAAATTTTAACAGCCCTGGGCAGAAGCAGTTGAACAATGTCCGCATCTCAGTGAAAGACCTTCACGACATGGTGAGCCATATGAGTAGTTCTCTGAATTAGGGTCCCTTTTAGGGGTCCTTCCTATACGGGTGCCGTACTATATTTGGGACCTAGAATGGGGCCCCAATTTAGCGAACTATCCATATGTGTTGCAGAAGCTCATGCGGACAAAACAGCTTTGGCCTTGTCAAGTGCTATCTTACCTACACCCAATCTCGTGCAGGAGTTCAAGACCTAAGCGTAAAAACCAACAAAACCCAAGACCAATGCAAATGGAGTCTCAAGGCGTTGGAATGCAGAGCATGATCCCCGTTTCGGGTCTGGGCAATTCTTAGCTGAGGGTTCTGTATCGAGGAATACCAATTCTGCAAACCGTGAAAGATACACACATAAAATGCCAAGCGCTTGGCATAATTATGCCCTTTGCGCAGCACTCAAAGGACATGCCTTACACACTTCACACACCTCTGACGTCCATTCAATCCTAACACCGGTTCGGGGCTTTCCAGTTCAGTTTCCAAATGATGCCATAGACATCAGGATCGCATAGACATCAAGATGTTGTACTTCGCGCACCAAACTTATTCGCGATGTGTTGCTGATGACATGGCAGCAGCCACCACTCGCAGCAGCAAAGGCAAGCAGCAAACCGAGCAGAATACAGAGGCCCAATAAATAAAGAGTGAAGCATAGTATACTAATATCCTCTTACATAAACTCTCAGAAAACGCATATACTCTCAGAATAAGTATATACTACAATACACAAGTACGATGGACCCTATACTGTATATTGAAGCTCGAAAGCATATATAGCAGAGCGCCGAGGGAGGCGGGGTGCTTAAGGTTTAGGGTGCTTACTAGGTTACTAGGGTTTATTTAAGCACGAGCAGATATTTCAGCTAGGCATCCAACCCTGTTAAACCTAACACTTCGCCTTCGCTTGCGCATCCCGATTTGGAAATGCCGACTGCATCAGCACGGTGCGCGTCGCAGTTGGCGGCGCTGGCTGCGCAGGCGATTGCGCCCCCGCAGGCTGGCGTGGTGAGGTTATGGTTTGGGCTCCATAGCAGGTTCGTAAGGATTCTAGCGGAGTCTGTGGAAGGTTTCAAACCAGTGGAGAGAAAGGGAGAGAGAGAGAGAGGGAGAGATTCATATATATATATATATATACATACTATATTATATGCACATGCACACGTAATACTTCTGTCTCTCTGCCGTTGAACCCAGAGGGTCTAGCAGCACCAGGGCACGCACTAGGCTCCGCCCTTCAGGATCCTTCAGGCTGTTCATGTAAGGGCCTTAATAATTAGAATAGGGTTTTGTGGTTTCCTTCTTATAATTTACCCTCTTAAACTTTTGTAATGATCAAGGGTCCCTATGTTACGTATGAAGACTTTTGCCGCTTTTGCCTCCAAAGACAACGGGGCGAGGTTGAGTGCCGGAAGACTGCTCCGTTCCATTCCCTGGGGCTGTGGTGCCCTTCCGCACCCACACCATACTTTCGGCTTGGGCTTGGTGCTTTGCGATCTTGGATGTGCCATACCGTTTCATCCCACTCCCGTATGTAATATAGGGGCCTCTAAATCATTAGAATAGGGTTCTGGGCTCCATTCAAACCCCCACCCATTAGACCATGCTCGCAGCTGGGATCAGGGTTGGGCGTAGAAGCGCGAATGGTGCCTTTCTGAACTCACCGAGGCTTTGTGAGGTTAGGATTACAGGTTCCTTTCAACCATCAACGGTGATGGCCCAACTCACTCGAAACCTGATTTGAAGACTAATGGACAGCCAAGTAGGGCTACAAGTTGCCCATAGCTAAAATTCCTACATGAGTACCACTAAGCTGTAGCAGCCACATACAGTCATCAAGCCACAACCGATATGAAACTTCTATCACTCCCTGCAGAAATCGACACAAGCCGCAAATTAAACATCCTAGCACCACAGAGCTTCACTCGCCTGCCATGCAACAATCTGCTGGGCTCTGGCTTGTGTTGTCACTGCCTGGCAGCAGCTTAGGCTTTAGTGCCTCTATGTCGGAGCCTAAGGGTTTTTAGGGGCTCCTTATTATAATTATAGTATGATATACCCCCAAACCCGATTCTAATTCTTAAGGCCCCTCTATTACTCACTCATGCCGCATGCTGTAGTCTCTGCCTTCCTCCTGCAGGATAGGGGCGCTCAGAAATGAGAAGCGTTGCAAACAGTGGCCGGGCTTAGGGTGTCTTGTCGGTGCTTGGGGTCGGGTTGAGCCCTTTAAAAAAATCAGGGTGTAGGGTCTAGAACCCTGTTTCGAGTCTTTTTGAAGACCATCAAGCTATAGGTTGCTTCATGTAGGGCGAAGGCTCCTTTAACAGGCATGAAATCCTGACTTAATCTATTTCAGGAGGAATTGAGTATTGCGATTTGGAAAATCTGCATCGGGCACCCTGATTCAAGCATGTGGCTCCGCACAGGCCCAGGATACTATTAGCTCCTCAATAATTACCAATACATACTTTCATTTTGGGGTTCCTTATTGTAATTTTAATTTATACTATACCCCAAAACCCTGTTCTGATTATTAAGGCCCCTATATATTACACGATTGTACTGAGATACCAGCAAGGCAGTCTCTCCGGCTCGGGGAAATTGAAGATATTGGCTTCGGGTTTAGGGTTTATGAGAACCGAGGCTTAGTTGCGCTCTCAATCAGAGTCCATCTGGCAAGAGATGATGCATCTGTGAAAGAAGCCATCGCTTCAGGATTCAGAAACCCGGCGGCGGGTTACCCGTCAGACCAAGTCTCCCAAACCATCCGGAATCCCAGCCCTTTCTGCATCAGGACTTGTGCAATCGCCTGATGGGATTCCGGCCCTAAACCCCAAAACCCTTCAGTTTACCCATAGGCCCCATAGTAGTTCCTTTTCGGGGCTACCTTATTGGATTCTAAATAGGAACACCAAAAGGAACTACCATGGGGCATATGGGTAGGGTTGTCAGGTCCGCCACCCTTAGGCACGACACAGCGGAACCCTTTGGCCTGCGGCGGTGGGTGCTTCGGCGGCTGCGGCTTTGAAGGCATCCTGTTGAATGCCTGTGCTCATGATTTCAGGTAGTGCGAGTACCATTAGAATAGGGTTTGGGGGGGTTCCTTTGAAGGGTTCCTGAAAGGGATTGAGGATAGCTTCGATACAGCAATATAGTTCTCAGCCATCCACTGCGGACCCAAGTATACACCCTAAACCCTAAAGCCCTAAACCCTCCTGCTCTGTACCAACGCCAAGAACATTCCAGATCCTGCCTTGGGGACGGAGGACCTGGGCCAAACAACGGCGTGAAAGGCCCCGCTTTGCTGTAATTTGGGGCGGTGTGGAGTTATCAAGTGGGTTTAAGGTTAGGGATTAGGGTTTAGGGTTTAGGGTTTCGTGTGGGTTTAGGGTCAACTCCGATGTTGTCAATATCTTTGTATATTGTCGGTGGCAACACGTGCAGGTGTAGCCTTTCGTAACCGTAACACGAAGTACATACTATATCAGAACCCGCAGCTTTCATGGTTTGGGCTTTTGATCTTACCTCTTGGAACAATTGCCTGACTACTGGCAGACCAATCGCGTCGCAATGCCTAAAACAAATGGAACCAGCTCGTACTTGTCAGATTGTTTGGAAGCACTGAACGGTTTAGGGTTTATAGGGTTTGACCCCTGTTCAAGCCACGATGGGTTCAGTCGACCCCTGACTAGTTTCCCCGTGCTCCTGATCCTAAAATACTGGGATCTTGGTTCGAACCTTTTTGCGGGGCTGGCGCTATTAATATAGGGGCCTTAATAATTAGAATAGCGTTTTGGGGGCCCTTTATAGTATAACTATGATAAGGAACCTCCAAAATAGTATTGGTAATTATTTAGGCTCCTACATTATCCATCACTGACCTGTCGGGCCTAGTTGCGGATGTTGCCTAACCCCAAAAAGATGGGCCGAGGCCTGGGGATTGGGAGCATGTAACACACTGCATTATTTCAGGGAAGACCCATAAGGGTTTAGGGTTTAGGGGTTTAGGGTTTAGGGTTATAGTTAGGCTCCATTGTAGTTCCTTTTGGGGATTACTTGATAGGATCCTAAATATAAACCACAGGAGGAACTATAATGGCGCCTAAAGGTGTATTACTATTGCGACTGTCACCTACTTCGCAAGGGTTCAATGATTCCACACTTACTGGACTCTGTGTTCTGGAAGTGCAGAGAAGTTTTGTCTCCTCTGGCAAGATGGGTTAGCAACTTGCAGCTGCTTCAGCGAGAACTCGATTTTATCCATGGCAGCTACACGCCAACAAAAAAGGGCGTACGAGGTCCCAGATGTCATTGGACTCGTCCCAAGGAGCTCAGGCTGGGTAAGTGATCTTTGACTTGTTAGTTTTTAACAGATATGTATGGGGTGTGAATACATATATATATATATATATATGCATACAGAGAGTTGTATATACCTCTGTCTACATATAAGTTTACATATATGTATGTATGTGTATATATGAATATAAATATATTTGCTTATTCACTTATTTAAGTATGTATTTATTGACTTGTCTATTTACACGATGTCCAAAACCTATATGCGCCCGCACGAAAATGGACAGAAAGGTAGATGGGCAGACGGCTAGACAGACACACAGCCAGGCAGGCAGACAGACAATCAAAACCCCAAACCCTAAACCCTACATAGAAACCTAAACCCAAAACCCCTAAACCTCTTAACCCCAAACCCTAAACGCCGCACCCCTAAACCCCTAAACCGTACATAGGCCACTCTGCTGCCGAAGGGCTCTCCCGTCCGATGCCGCTTCCAATCTTGCTCGTAGCCGACCTCCTCCTCTTCCTGTTCTTCGTGCTGCTCCTCCTCCACCCTGAGAAGGTCTTAGGGTTTAAGGGTTCAGGGTTTAGGGTTGAGGGCCCCTTAAGGGTTTAAGGCTTTCGTTTCAAGCCCTGTGGCCCCCAGCGGGGGTTTAGGGTTCAAGGGTTTCGGGTCCAGGGATATTACACTAGAGACTAAGTGAATAGCTGAGACTTAATGGGCAAGCTCCTGTTGTATTGGGCGCAGATATTGGAAACGATGGCGCAAGGTTAGTGGTGTTGCCGTATGGAGATCCATCTGGGAGGATGCGACGATCAAGAAAAAACATCGGAAACGTGATGCTAGGTACTTGTGTAAACTGTGTCTGACCAGAATACTAGGAGAATAGATTGCTGTGTAGGGTTGATGGTTTCTTAGGGAAAGAAACCAGTAGTCAGTAGTGCATCACCACAGTATCAGCGGAGAAACTGGCTTTAGCCTGCAACACCAAGCCGAACACGCAGCAAGCTGGTGCGAGCAAGGGGCACTTTCTCTTCGTTCCACTTCTTCCAGCCGCCTGCACAAACACAGGATTCGGCGAATATGAAATCAAGGACTGAGGAGCGTTTCAGAAGGCATTAACCTCGTTGCTGAGCTCCGTGGGCCAGAAAAAGCTATGATTCACTTGTAGTAGGACTGTTCAGTAGTTCCCTTATTTTGCATCAGGGCTTGTGTAATCGCTGAATATCTAATAATCCCAACTCTGTGAAACCTGCAAAGCCGAACCCTACACCCTAACCCTGCATAAACAAACGACCGATGTAAACCCAACATACTTGGGAAAGTTGTAAAACCAGGGACAACACCTGCAGGGGATATTTCAAGCCATGGCTTTGCGGAGGAAGCCTCCCTGCCAGCTGCTAGAGCTTCGGTCGTTCGAATCTTCCCAGCGCTTCCTCGGCAAACGCCACCGGAGCTTAGAACTCGGCAAAGTGTGTAAACGCGAACCTCATCAACGTTTCGAATCTGTGCGGGCTTCAAATCTCCAATCAGAAAACCCTAAACCCTAAACCCCATGAAGGGTTCTGGGGGGCTAGTACTCAGGGCCTCCAGGGCTTGAGGTTCAAGCCCTCAGCCTCGTGAGCCCAAGCCCAAGAGCCTAAATCTAACGCAAACCCCGTGGTCTATTTTCATAATGAGACAGGCCAGCAGATACGATATATATATATATATACATACATACATATACATATCTCTTTGTCTGTACCTATATATCTATATCTGTATATAATATATATATATATATATATATACAATTCTATATATATATATATATATATATTTACATATACACACCCTATTAGTCTACTTCACCTTCACAAGATCCGCCGTGATGGTACTTGGGCCCAGGCCTGGTAGGTATGGTCTGAGATGTAGCTAGGTTCAGTTTACGATGTCAGGACAAAATGTAGCTGAGAATGACCAGAGGACGCGCCTGTCTTAACTCCAGTCTCCTCAGCTATAGTGTTGTAACGTTGTTGTGCATGTTTTTGAGAGTTGGGATTTCCTGGCTAGCCGCAACGGGGGAAGTGCTGGGCACCCCTCCTCGAACAAAAAAAATGATGTCAGAACAGAGTATCCAGGCATGCTTCCGCACATGAGCAGTGGTCACATTTTAGTATGTAGCAATGGATATAATTCTTAATTTAATGAGGAGCTGCTACGGCCGCAATGGGTACACAAACAAGACCCCTCTACAGAACCCTATCCTTGCACGTAGACAAGCCAGACTACTCACTGTAGACAGGTACCAGTTACCCTCGACATTCAACCTGCCGTCATGACTGGCAGCAGTCCACATAGCTGTCGCTGGTCCGGGGCTGGGGTCTAGGGTTTTTAATGTGCAGTGACCCCTTTCTCCCGCCGAGACAGGCAAAAAGGACCCTGGTTTAGGGTGTATGGTTTAGATCTACCGTCAAACCCTTTTCGAAGTAAAGGCAAGTCGCCACTTGTTGTTGCGATCGTTGCCCCATTTGCTGTTGCTCCATTTGCTATTGCTCCAGTCCTGAAATTTCAAAGTGCTTGGGGCTTGCGGCTTAGGGCCTTTCAGTCTTAGTACTTCTGGTTTACGGCTTTCGGAAGTTTGGGGTTTAACATGCTTCGGCACAATATAGGGGCCTTCATAGCTAGAATAGGGCTTGAGACACATTACACCATACCTGTAGCCCACAGAGGGACTTTCATCAAGGAATGTTGCTGTTACTACTGATTATTCCGACCCCTCTCGTCTTGCAGCTGGCTGGCAAGGCACGCCCTTTCCTAAACACCAAACCCTAAGCCTTTCATTACGGGGGCATGAAGACTCCGACAATGCAACTTCAATTGCATTGTAAAACCAACACAAAGAAATGAGGAGCGCACTACTGCCTCAAGTCAGAGCTTAGGGTTTACCCAGACGAGCGAGGTCTCGCGGTTCGACTACTCACAACGCGAAGGAATCTACCGGCTCGGTTCAGAATTTAGGGTTGTGGGTTCTTCTCCCCTCTCGCTTGGCCGGGATCCTGGGATCAAGGTTTGGGGTTTAGGGTGTAGCAGTCCTGCAAGGCCCTATCATAGCCCTCGGGGTCCATGTACCCATCTAGCATATACTTAGACCCCAAAGTACCCAAATAGGAACTACATTAAGGCCAATGTATATACTGTTTGGGTACATGGACCCTTAGGGTAGTCATAGCCCTACTATAGAACCCTGACAAGACCGTATCGTAAAACCCTGCCACTCAATCTAGAACCTTGTCTAGCCCTATCATAGAACCCATATACCCCATTCTAGAACCATCATACCCTACTACATGACCCCTAAAGCCTAAACCCTCAACCCTAAACCCTACTACATGACCCGTATAGGACCCTCGAGCCTCTCTAAAGCTCGAGCAGGGCCCTCGGATCGACAGAAAGAAGCGAGGTCGGCAGGGGTGTAACATGCCCTGCTTAAGTGCCTACCCATAGGCCCCATAGTAGTTCCTTTTTCGGGGTACATATTTGGAATCCTATAATGTAGTCCCAAAAAGGAACTACTGTACTATGGGGCCTATGGGTAACCTAATATCAATATTAATGAGACTGGGTGTCGGGTATATTGTGGCAAGCTTAAACCACATAGAACCTTCAAGGTGAAAGCTTACTGATCATTTAAGCCTCTATGCTGCCGCGATACTGCTGAAGATGTAGAAGCAAACCCAAAACCCTAAACCCCAAACCCCTGGCACACGCCTCATTCTCCTCATCCCAGCTCTGCTTGTGCCAGCTCTTCTCCTCTTGCTGCTGGCTTCCTGTGGCAAGGCCACTATACCGTCAGCAAAAAAAACAACCTATTAGTCCTGTAGGTCCTATGAAAGCCAAATGACACACTCTACAAAGGTTCCTAGATGTTCCTAGATTGTTTGCCTGAGAGGCGTGGGGCCTAGGGGCTCGCTGCACTCCTTGGGTTTGGTGGTTTAGGGTTTGGGGTAGGTCCTCCGCCAGTACCTCTCAAGGCCCAAATCCTCGTCTAATAGCCAAGGCCCCCATACTATCATCGTGCTCGCTCGCGTTGCCAGGACTCGCTTCGTTCTGCTCTGGTATTTTGTGCTGCTGCTGCGACGCTGCTGCTGTGGTTTTGTTCTTGTTTTCGTTATTGTTGTTCGTCGTTGCTCATTGTGCTTGTGATCCAGGAGAGTTAGAAGCAGTCCGACGCAAGAACGACGCAGCCACCTGAGCTTGAATCGCGCTCTAGAGCCCTACCTGTAGTCTCCATTGTAGTTCCTTTTTTTGGTTTAACCAAATATATATTAAGGATTTTATAAGGTATCCCCAAAAAGGAACTACATTGGAGACTATAGGTACATGGCAACCCTATCGAATCCGTAAACGCATCCTCGTTTCTTTTCCACGCTCCGCCTGATGCCGCACTCCTAAGACATTGGGAGTTTCCGAAAATAGGGGACCCCAATATAGTACCCGAAATAATAGGATCCTTATTATAAGGACCCCCAAAATAAGGTACCCTAATTTTCGGAAACCCCCACATTGGGACAGCTTCGAAGCGAAGACGGCACCGCACTCTCCACGTCCAAGGGTAAACCTCGAAAACCTGGGCCCTGAAGTCCAAACCTGAATCCAACCACGAACCCAGAATCTCAACCCTAAGAACCCCCTAAACCCGAAACCCTCAATCCTAAACCAAAAACCCTCTATAAAGCCGGAAACTCTAGAACCTCAAGCAAAAAGGCCCCAATACTTCGACTGAGGGCTTCGGTGTATGATATACTGTATACTACACTCGACGTTACTTCTACTAGGTGGCTCTGAGGCTTTGCTCACGATTTAGACACCTACAAAGCTTATGAATCACCAGGAGCTGTGGGGCTGGCCTCTCTCCCACTGCCTTGGTGACCGGCTGCGGTCGTTCTGCTCCTTGTGATCCCGATTCTTCCGATTTTGGCCGTGGCCTTGCGCGATCAAGATTTCATGGAGCTTAGTGCATGGCCGTGTGTCATCCTTTGCTCGCACAGCTTTTCGAAGTGGAAAAGCTACGAAAATAGACTGCCAAATCATCTGCATGCACGGCTTCTCCGGACCACGCGAAGCCCGGCTTGATTGAGGGTTGGACACCATATCAACATTATTGCTTCCCACAGTACTACTACTCCTGCTGCGGCGCCTGTTGCTGCTACGACGACGACAACGACGATTGCTATGGACCGTACAAGCAACATCAGTGTCAGAGGTAGTAATCACAATCGTCGGCGACGCTGTAGCCTCAAACATGCAATGTTCATCCTAACAGCGTCCGGATGTCATCATCATGCCCTCCTCGACTCGAGCCCCGTCCTCCTCCTTGTCCTCTTCGCCCCCCCCCCCGCATCCTCCACTTCACCATCATGATCATCATCACCACCACCATCTCAATCATGATCATCGTCATAACCAACATCATCGCGTCAGATCCTGCAGACCTCGCTCATCCCAGTGTCTGTGCGTGGCTACAGGCCTCCGCCGCGATGTTTGCCATGTTTGGACCTTGCCGCTTCTACCGCGGTTGAAAAGACTCAATCCAATTTACGGCTGGTCTTGCCTAATCTACATAGGCGGTGAGACTGCAAACAAACCTAGTTGACCTTCTACCGCAAATCGTGGGTTCGGGGATGGTGCAGCGTCTCAGGGCTGTGTCTTGGTGACATGCGTACATACAGAACCTGTAGATATATATATATATATATGCGTGTGCGTGTGTTTACACACATGCTTCGTGCCCTCTCATCCATCAAGAATTACCACCTTACTGTAGCGACTGCTGCTTCCATCAGCTTCTGCTGTAGAGACTGTCGAGTATCCAAAACACGGGTGTGAACAGTGATACTTGAGCTGCACCGAAAGTTACACCTCCCTCATTTCACCATCTGCCACGTTTGAAGCACAACTGATATCCCACATGGATTATGTTTGCACTTCCGTGTTGCGGGTCTACCGATTGGTTCTCACTAGTGACACTAGTGTCAAGAAACAAAAGACCTCCTCCGGTAATGAGACCTTTGTTTTTTAATGAAGAAATCCCAAAAGAACAGCTGTTCTCCTCTATGAGAGAAATGAAACAACTCCTTGCAATCTCTTCTTCCAACCAAAAACAAGCACAAGAAGGCTCCTCTACCCATTGCCAATGGCAAGAACATAGAACCTAGTTAAACCCGACACCCTCATGGATACGTGTTTTCTTTGTGCTGCGGACCGCATTCAGGCCTGAATGCATGCGAAACTAGTGCACGGTACATCGCAAATACAAAAGTGGCTCGTCTCCCATGTAAAACTTCTTCCCTTACCAAGGAAACGACAAGCATTTTAACAAAACGCGTGACAGCTTCCGCTGCAAACTGCCGCCTTTCTTACTGAGAGATTTGCAGGATCCACCCCACTTACAATAACTCTGCAAGTACTTGCATGCATACAACATACACATGCGAACGTAGGTACGTGCACATGTTGGTCATCCCCATGTCGTTAACCTTGTGGAGACGGACCTCGCAGAGACAACGAGAAGCGACTGCCTGGTGTCTGCCGCAGCGTTGACAGGACGCTTCAGTCCACCACTATCCCCGGTCCACAATCCACATCAGACTTCCACAACCTAAAACAAGCACACACGCCCCGCAATCCAACTCTGGCAAGTAAAAATGCTGGAAATACAACAACCCATAATTCTGCGGAGTAGTGGGATCGCAGCGATTGGGTTTGGCCGGCACACACACCCATCCGTCAATCTATCCATCCATGCACGCACTCGCACTTACGTGCATATACATATACATATACATGTGTGAATACACATGACATACTATAAAGCTACATGTATGTCTGTAAGCAATGTGTATATATATATATACCCACACACGGAGAGATGGAGTCATGTATCTATCTCCGCTCTCTCACCCTCCGTATCTCGACTGTGGGCACTGACAACTCCGCTTATGTTGGACACATGAGTAGGCTTGCGACTGGGGCTTCCGACCACCCAAAATCCGAAAAGCCGCACAGCCAATTTCTTCTGGTCTAGGCAGTTTTGTGTATTTTAGAATACTCTAAACCCTAAACCCTAAAACCCTAAACTCTAAGCCCTACACCCTAAACCCCTAAACCCAAAATATTCTATCTGGGTTGTAGTTTTGGGGCCCTGAAAAGTATTTATGAATAGGCACCTCTACAGAAAGCATAAGGGAAATTTTAAAGTTTCCCAAATAGCCACCTAGCTACGGCTGGAGGAGCTCCTGGGCTAGCACGGTTTAGGGTTTACCCATAGGCCCCATAGTAGTTCCTTTTGGGGTTCATGTTTTAGAAACCTATAAGGTAATCCCAAAAAGGACCTACTATGGGGCCAATGGGTAGGGCTTAAC